GGGGGGGGGCGGCCACCCGACGCCGACCCCTGCCCGTCGTGATCTGTTGTGTTGTCTCCCTCCCCGCCACGGCTCGGCCTCGGCTCGGCTCTGTTCGGCTCGGCGGGCCGGCCGCCTCGGCTGCACTCGGAGCCGGTTGCTCGGCTCGTCACGGCTTGCAGCGCGCCCAGCAGACAGCCGGCCTGGCCCGGCAGCCGGCAGCCGGCCGGTTTCAGTTTGCTTCTAGCAGCCGATGCGCGTCGACGTGTTGGTCGTGTCGTGTCTCTGCCGGCGTCCGCGAGCGTCCACGTCGTAGGGACTTACGCGAACAAGTGTGTGTGTGTGTAAAGTGTGTGCACCTCGACATGCGTCGGGGTGACTGTGAAGTGTTCCAAGTGCAAGTGATGTGTGCTCCGCTGTGAGTGATAACCGAGGATAACTAGTGCATTACCGACAAGGCTCCGTCACCATCATGAGGTTACTCCTCGTGCCGGCGGTGCTGCTGGCGCTGGCCGGGGCCTCGACGGCGTCCCCCGGCGCGCACGTTACCCTCCTCAAGTGCTGCCCCTACGGCGAGACCCTCGACCCCCACACCGCGGACGGGCCCGCGACGTGCATGCGCGTGGAGAACGCGAGCGAGTCGTGGCTGCCCAAGATCTTCTCCAAGCGGCAGCGCAGCTACCTCAAGACGCTGCCCGCGCACTGGACGGTGCACCCGGCGTCGCCACCGCCCTGCGGCGCCCGCGCCCGCATGGTGCCCGCGCACCCGCACAACCAGCCCGTCTTCCTGCTGTTCGAGGACGGCAGCCTCTACCTGCACGAGACCAACGAGATCCTGGGCTCGGCGCGCTTCTGCGTCGACTCGACGGCGGCCATCATCTGCCTGCCCAAGGACGACGGCGACGCGTCGTCGCCGTCGCAGCCGCCGTCGGCGACGTCGGCGGCCTCGGTGGCCAAGGCCAACTCGATCGAGGAGGCCAAGCCCGTCAAGCGGCAGCGCCTGCGCAAGTGCTGCATCGGCGACGCCGTGTACAGCGAGACGGACGCGTCGTGCGTGACCCGGGCGTCCACCAAGGTGGCGGCCGGCGCCGACCTCTGGACGTCGGCCGGCGAGCACCTCCGCGACGCGTTCACCGTCATCACCGGCTTCCCGGCGTGCCGCAAGCCGGGCTTCGCCGTCCGCGGCTACCTGGGCGACGGCCCCGCGCCGGGCACCACGCCCGCGGCGCGCCTCGAGGCCGACGGCATGGTGTGGGTGGGCGGCTCGCGCCTCAAGCTGCAGCCCGACGACTACTGCCTCGAGATCATGGTGGAGGCCAACGGCGCCGTGGTCATGGCGTGCCCCGGCGAGGACGCCAAGCCGGACAAGGGCGCCGACCTGCGCTTCACCTGGTTCCCGGCCATGCTCTTCCTCAGCGTCTTCTTCCTGGCGGCCACGCTGCTGGCCTCGTGCCTGCTGCCCGCCGCCTACCACCAGCTGCACTGGCGCTGCCAGACCAACTACGTGGCGTCCCTCATGCTGGGCGACCTCTTCCTCGCCATCACGCAGGTGTCGGGCGCCGCGCTCGCCGGCCCTTTCTGCGTCGTGTTCGGTGAGTGTTCGCAAACCCCCTGGGTGATTCTCGTGTGGCCGCGGTGCTCGAATCCCCTTCCCCGCAGGAGAAAGGGATCACGAAGGGATGGTGCAGCACGGGCACTGGCTGGGAGGGAGACGTGCTGGCTGCAGGCACACCCGCCTGCGTCTGGGTCTTTCAACGGCCCTGCAAAAAGGGGGGGGGGGGAGGAGGGTCTGCACCATCGATCACTCCATCTGGACGCCGTCGCCGCCGTGCAGCAGCGCGGCGACGGCGTGGCGACGACGCCCAGCCTCACGTCGTCTTCGTCGTCCTGCTCGGCCCCGCCGGGTGCCTTCTTCTTCCCTCTGACAATAGAACCGGCCCGGCCCCGCCCCGCCGCCGCCGCCGCCCGCGGGCTTCGCTTTCTCTCTAGCGTGCGATTCGACGCGCTAATTTTTGTGAGCTGCTGGTGGTGCACGTTTTGCGCGTCGTCATCCGTCATATCGACCCAGAAAGCGAGCGAGCTCCTCAGGTCTCGCCGTCGGCTTCCTTCCCCCTTGTCCTCCTCGTCCTCCTATTCACCCTCTCCTCCCCCTCCTCCCCTACCCCTCCTCGCCTCTTGATACGCCGCTAATGGCCCTCACATGCTGCTATCATCCTGCGGGTTCTCTCCAGAGCCGGCTTGGTGGTTTTTAGCGACGCCCCCTCCGGGATTAATTTCCGCGCCTCTCATTTAAGTTTTTCTGTGTGTTACTTTCTTGTAGTTTCATGTTGTTGTTTTTCGGTCGTTTCATTTTCTGTGGAAACGAACCGTCGGCGGCGGGTGCAGGGTGGTTGGGGGGC